GACCTGCTGCCAGTACTTGAGGTAATCCAGGCTCTCGGCCAGCTCCTGCTGCCCCTTCATGCATTCCAGGATGGTCTCGAGGACGTGGGGCCACGGGGTCTTCAGCTCCTCTCCATGCTGGTGGAGTTGTGCGAGGGCCCACTGCTGGGTCATCGCCTCCTTGATGGACTTGATGTGGCTCGCCTCCTGGCCGCCTGCCTCGCGCGAGTCGCTGCTGAGGCTGTGGGCCAGGTCCCGCGGGATACTCGCCACCCATTCTGTTGCCATAGTTCGCGCCGTCGGGGCCCCCTTGTCCCTGACCGTCGGGGGCGCTAGCTCTCGCATCTTGTAGACAGCCTTTTCGCCATGCCCACTGTGGGCCAGCAGCTCGTCGCCGTCAAAGCAGTGATATATGTTCCAGTGCATCTCGTAGGCGTGCATGAGATCGCGCCAGAAGGCGCTCAGAGTCTCGTGGTCGACGCACTCCCCGCGGAGAAGACGTGGCCACTGCACTGGTGGTGTAGGGCACCCTGTTGGCACGGTCAAAGGCCACGGTACCTTCTGTATGAGCTGGAGGGCCTGTGGCACAGGCGATCGGCGTCCTATCTTCATCATGATGGGCCTGTGGGGCTTGGCCGCAAACGCCGTCATGACTTCCGCTCGAAGCCCATTCTCCAGCAAACTCTCCGAAACGATAAAGTAGTCCCTGACCGAGTAGTTGCCCGTACTTCCCCTGCACGTGCCTTCACTCATGTCGTAGACCAGGCGCCCCTTCAGCTTGGTGATGATACCCGTGCTCATTAGCTCGTGAGGCTCCATGTTGAAATCGCCGCCGAGCACCCGCGGTTGGCCTGACGCGGCCATGAGTGCCCCGAAGCGGCTGAGTATTGTGAGATTGCGGTTCGTGGGCCCTTCTGCCACCCAGAGGTGCACAGAGCCCACCGCGATGCCGTGCTTTCGGCATGTCTTGACGTAGCCCACACAGAGTCTCCCTGGCGACTCCTTGGGCGAGGCGTCCCACTTCATCAGCTCGGGCAGGTAGGTAATCCCCATGCGGCTTGGCACCGCGATCATGACCCCCGCCCTCATGCCTTGCTTAGTGGGCGCACTAGGCACCACTGCCGCCTTCCAGCCATATTTGATGAGCCTGGCCGACAGCAACTCTACTTGCTTTGGCGCCAACTGCAACTCCTGGCCTAAGACGACTGGGGCCTCGACCTGGTAGCGCAGCTGGAGCAAAACCTTCTCGAACTGGTTCGCGGTGTTCGCATTGCATGTGATGAACACCTGCTTCTCTGCCCTGGTACTTGCACACTGCTCTGGTGAGTCACTAGGAACGCGACAGGCTCGACTTCCGCATTGCAAAGTGAAAACCATCAGCCATGTCAGCAAGAATCGTATGCAACATCGGCCCATGCTTCTGGATCTCCTCATCCTTGACACCGGCCTGCTTGGGGGCTGTCGTGATCTCCTGGGGGCTTGCTTTGGCCTTGAGCTTGAGGACGTCCTCGCTCTGCTCCTCGGGGCCGATGCAAGCGCGCCTCTTGTGGCGTGGTCCGTCGCCGCTGAGGCTGTCCCTGTCTTCGTCCATCGGCGCGGTCATCTTCTCCGCAGCGCTCGCCTTCTTCTTGGCCGCAAGTGCAGGGGCCGCTTCCAACTGCTTGATGACCTCCGCATCCTGCTCCTCGCCGTCGGCCCCCAGGGACGTCTTGGCGAGCTCCAGGTGCGCGCAGACCGATTCCCAGCCCTTGGGCGTGGGGGGCCTGGCGAGCGCCTTCTCCTTGGCACGGAGGGACTCGACCTTCTTATTAGCCTGCTCGGCCTTGTTCTCTGCGGTGCGCAGCTGAGTCTGGATGTCCTCGAGCTGCTGCGTGAGCTTTGCCACATGGGCATCAGCCTTCGACTGTGATTTCTCTGTTCCACGGAGACGGCGGCGCACTGCCACTTCCGCGTAGCATGCAGGTAGCGTTGCTTCCTTTTGTGCCAGCAGCCCGCCGATCTGTTCCTGCAACTTCGACGTGGCATCCGATGCGAACTCCATGCCTGGCTCCTGCGCGAGCTGTTCGAGATCCTTGAGGCGGGCCCTGTAGATCTCCAGCTTCTTCGCGATGCCTGACGTGGTCTCGTCGGAGGCGTCGCCATCGGCGTCCTGGTGTGTGTCCTTCGGTCCGTCGCCCTGCCCGTCTCTCTTGGGCGCCTGCCGAGCCTTCTTGCACCAGTAGCATACTTTCGTCCTTCCCCAACAATCGTCCGTGTGGCACACTGAGCAGGTCCACGCATCGCCAGACTTGGGGGGCATCTGGGTGCTCGGGGCGGCGGTGCCACTGCCAAGTTTGCCGCACCCTGGGACGCGAGAAATCCCTGGCACCTGGAAATCCTCGAGTCGGGCAATGGCTGAGGAGGAGGAGGAGGAGGAGGAGGAGGAGGAGGAGGAGGAGGAGGAGGAGGAGGAGGGGGGGAGGAGGAGGAGGAGGAGGAGGAGGAGGAGGAGGAGAGGAGGAGGAGGAGGAGGAGGCGGAGGAGGAGGAGGAGGAGGAGGAGGAGGAGGAGGAGGAGTCGACTAATACAGTTCGGTGCTGTCTGGTATGGCTTCTGTGCTCTGATAGGCGACCCCCCTCCTCTGGCCGCATCCACCTGCGTGCATCGGCCTTGCTCCCGACACCGCGACCCCTCGTACAAAACTATGGGTCCGCGCTCCCGACGCCACGATCCCTTGCTAAACAAATGGATCCGCGTCCCGAGCTTCCAAGACGGCCCATGTAGGCAACCAAGGGCACCAACATGGCCCAAGATACCTCGCAGGTGACCAAGATGGCCCCGAGGCGGCTGAAGATGGCCTCATGACGGCCCAATGCGCCTCCAAGAGGGCCCCAGAAAGGGTCACAAGATGACTTCTTCTCGCCTTCTGGGGCTTCCGTCAGCTCAAGGCGGCCAATGAAGCCTCCACATTAGCCCAAGACTGCCCAGGAGGGCCCAAAGATAGCCCGAACGCGGCCCAAAAGCGCCCCCAATGGGACCCAAGACTGCCTTTATAAGGCCCTTCGACGACCCAAGACGGCCCCACGGAGGCCCCTATACTCACCAGGCGGCCAAGAGGGCACCAACACGGCCCACGAGAGCCCAAGATGACCTAAGAGGGCCCCAAGACGGCCCAGGAGGGCCCCAATTGACCCCAAAGACTGCCTCTCAGGAGACCAAGGCATCCCCAGGATGACCAAAACGAGTTCCATGAGAGCTTCTCGATGAGTGAAGACGGAATGTGTCACCTGTGGCGGCATTCCTCTTCTTCATCCCATCCCTCCTCATCCTGATCAGAACCCTCGATCTCCTCTTCCTCCCTGATGCTCATCCTTATACTCGGCCTCGTCATCATCCACATCCTCATCGGCATCAGCATCAACATCACCATCATCGTCACTATCGCCATCACAACCATCATCAACAAGATACTCATCACCACCACAATCGTCATAATGATCATCATCATCCTCATCATGGCTCCCTCACGCCTGGAAACACGAGGTGTCACACGTGACGACCACCTGTACCCCCTCGAACAATCGCCACCCAAAATGCTGGGCTGACACGGTGACAAGACTTGCCACAAGCAGCTTGATATGTTCCATTAGAGCGGAAGCCTGCTCTAATCTGCTCCAGTCGGTTTGTAGTAGCAGGGGAATGAGGGATAGTACTTCAAGGACGACGCTGGTGAAGATGACTAAGAGCACGAGCTCGTCTAAGCACGACCCAGAGGAGGGGCGCGTGTGCGTCCCAGCGGATACGCGCCGAAACACGACCCAGAGGATTCGCACGAATCCATCCCGTAGGACATGCGCCGCGCAAAGCAAGAGAAACCCATAACATGTATGATGTGTGTGCGTGTGTGTGTGCATGTGCGTGCGTGCGTGCATGCGTGCATGCGTGCGTGCGTGCGTGTGTGTGTGTGTGTGGTTGTGTGTATGTGTGTGTGTGTTTGTATGTATGTATGTAGGTATGTATGTATGGATGTAGGTAGGTAGGTAGGTAGGTAGGTAGATAGGTAGGTAGGTAGGTAGGTATGGATGGATGGATGGATGGATGTATGGATGTATGGATGTATGGATGTATGTGTGTGTGTGCGTGTACGTGTGTGTGTGCGTGTGTGTGTGTGTGGTGTGTGTATGTGTGTGTTTGTGTGCGCGTGTGCGTGTGCGTGTGTGCGTGTGCGTGTGCGTGTGCGCCCGGGATCTGCACTGGCCCGGGATCCTGCGAAAATTATCACAGTGCGACCCTACCTAGGAGTTGGAACCCCCAGGAAAGCAGCATTAGTAGTAACAGTAACGCTAAGCTAAAGCTAAGCTAAAGCTAAGCTAAAGCTAAGCTACAGCTAAGCCACAGCTAAGCTAAAGCTAAGCTAAGGCTAAGCCACAGCTAAGCTAAAGTCAAGCTAAAGCTAAGCTAAAGCTAAGCTAAAGCTAAGCTAAAGCTAAGCTAAAGCTAAGCTAAAGCTAAGCTAAAGCTGAGCAACAGCTAAGCCAAAGCTAAGCTACAGCTAAGCTAAGCTAAGCTAAGCTCAAGCTAAGCTAAAGCTAAGCTGAAGCTAAGCTAAGGCTAAGCTAAACGCTAAGCGAAAAGCTAAGCGAAACGCTAAGCTAAAGCTAAGCTACAGCTAAGCTAAAGGCTAAGCAAAAGCTAAAGCTAAAGCTAAAGCTCCCAGGGGACTGGGGGGAACCGCTCCCAGGGGACTGGGGGAACCGCCCGGGGCGTGTTCCACTGCCCGGCCCCTTTAAGCTAAGAGAGTAAGAACCCTTCTAGGCAGAGCCTAGGTAGGGAAAAACGGTCCCTCCCCAGAGCCGACCCCCCTCGAAACCGTGTGGATGGAGGAACAGGCAGGGAAGAGTGCTGGAGAGAGGCAGGCTGTAAGGAAGGAGAGGAACGCGAGGGGAGCACGGAGGGCAGAACAGGGGACGGGAGGAGGGCGCCGAGCACCAAGGCGTCGTGAGACATGTCTCTGCTCAGTGGACCCGCCCGGGCGGGGGATCCTGAATACGCATGTTGGCCTCTGGAATGTCGGCGCACTTGAGGACCTGCTCAAGCGGGGGTGGTCGCACTGTCGGGAACACACGCACGAGAGCAAGAAGAGCAGGAGGAGCAGCAGCAGGGCTAGAGGGAGGAGAGAGGAGGGGAAGGCGGAGGAGAGAGGATGATGGGAAGGATGACCAAGCCGAGGTTGGATGACGGGAAAGAGAATGGGGGCCAGCAGATGGGATGACATACGAGGAGGGGGAGGGTACAAAAGAGGACGAAGGAGGAGGAGGAAGAAAGTGTCTACATGAGCAGAAGAAGGAAAAGGACTAACACGGAGCAGGAGGAAGAGGACGGGGAGGAGGAGCAAGAGGAGGAGGAGGAGGAGGAGGAAAAGGATGAAAAGGAGGAGGAGGAGTTAAAAAGGGCGGCCAATGACCAGGATGATGAGTGCGAGGATGGAGAGGATGATGATGAGAATGGAGGGGAGGCGAGGAAGGTGAACGACCATATATTACGGGGGGGGGAGGAGAAGGAGGAGGAGGAGGAGGAGGAGCAAGAGGACGAAGAGCATCAGCAGCAACACCGGCAGCCACGTCGATGGACAGGCGACGAAGAGGCCCAGGAGGGCCCTGGACGCCCCAGAGACTACTTCATCGCTCTTCCCTGCTCGCTCCGCTCTCCCCAAAAGAAATAAATGCCCCTCCTCCCCCTCCTCCTCCCCTCCTCCTCCTCCTCCTCCTCCTCTCCTCCTCCTCCTCCTCCTCCTCATCATCCTCATCCCCCCTCCCCCTCCTCCTCCTCCTCCTCCTCCTCCTCCTCCTCTCTCTCTTCCTCTTCTCCCTCCTCCTCCTCCTCCTCCTCCTCCTCCTCCTCCTCCTCCTCCTCTCCGTCCTCCTCGCCCTCTCCTTTCGTTTCCTTCCTTCTCTCTCCTCACAGCTTCTCACTCCTCCCCGCCCCCCATCGCCCGCCAGATCCAAAAAATCCGCGCGGACCGTCGAAAGTTTATGGTCATGCCGTTGTTTGTTCTTCGACCCCTGCCACCCCCTCCACGAGCCCCGCCCCATGCTCCCCTTCCGCCCCCTGGCACCCGCACAACCTCCCCTCGTGCCGTCTCCCGCCCTCGCTCTCCCTCGCCCATCATTCGACTCCCTCCCCCCCTCTTCCGCCATCATCGCTCTTCGGTCGGCCTCCCCAGTCATCCAATGAGTCCGCCCGAAATTGCATGGCCCTGCTCATCCCCCCTCGGCCCTACACGTCCCCCTCTCTCCCTCGTCAACCGCTTCCTCGTAACACTCTCCGCCTCACTCCCTTGCATCCTCCTTTTCCTCCTTCCTTTTCCTCAACCTCCTCCTCCTCCTCCTCCTCCACCTCTCTCAACCTCTTCCTCTTCCTCAACCTCCTCCTATTCCTCAACCTCTTCCTGCTTTGGCTCCGGCTCCTGTTCCTGTTCCTGCTGTTGCTATTCCTCCTCCTCCTCCTCCTCCTCCTCCTCCTCCTCCTCCTCCTCCCCTCCTCCTCCTCCTCCTCCTCCTCCTCTCCTCCTCCTCCTCCTCCTCCTCCTCCTCCTCCTCCTCCTCCATAACCCTGCCGATCTGCAGTCCCGTCCTCCCTCCCGACCGCCTGCCGTGCCTCCATCCATGCCGCTTCCCTCCCCCCTCTTTGCCAACATAAGCTTCCCCGCTTTCTCATGTTTTCCTCACACGTTCCTCTCACTCCCTCCTTCCCTGCTGCCTCTCTTCTTCCCTCTGCCCTTCGACATCCACCCCCAACCTTGTCCTCCTCCTCCTCCTCCTCCCCCCGCCGCCCTCCTCCAACCCTCGCTTTCCATCGCTTGGACGTCCATTCCTTGTGCATGCTTCTGTCTCGCGCGTGGATATTTTCGCAAGCCCAAAACGCTCCTGGATGGTCCTCGCCAGGACCAAACATGCACACGTTCGAGCACTCCCAAGCTCGACCATTCAGTGCACGTTTCGGTTTCGTGCGTATATTTTTCTCTGCAGGATGGCCCAACATGCTCCTCGATTTCTCGCCAGGCAAAAAAACACGTCCGAGCGACACAACTAATCTCCCATCCATCATCCTCTCTTCATTTTCTTGTCGACGACCCAAAGGGGCAAGTGAGAAGAAAAAGGCCTTCTAAGAAGGCTCGGAAGTCCCCCGGCCTTCCGACAAGTTTTCTCACCCTTCCCCGAAGACACAAAACAGTTTCCGAGAGGGCGCGGGGGCCTCTGAGGAATGCCGCCGCCCTCCGAAAATGCCTTTCCCCTTCTCGTTCCCCC